TTTTGAAGTGATGTGATTGGTGTGACGCCAAATCCAAACTAGCTTCCCTTGACACTTTTTTTTTGGTGTGTCAGGACCATTCACATTTGAGCTCACTCAGTTTAGCCCAACACTGCCTGGCTATTATTATTATTTTTTAATTATCAAGGGAGGCCAAATGGTCGCTTGCTTCCCTTGCATTCAGCGCTACAGGCGGCAACAATGTCATACTCTTTTTGACCAGACAGCATCAGATAGGTGGGCTAAACATACTGAGAAAGAGGGGCACTGTTTCGCTCGCTCGGATGCTTTCTCCGGTGAGATACATTCAGCCTCTTGAGAATTGAAGGAAAATTATGAAACACAGAGAGACGAAAGATACATTATTTAATGTTTTTTTATTGGTAATTTTTTGGGGGAAGCCTAGATTCCCTTGGCATCCATGAGCACTGATGTGCAAAGCTGATACAGACATACAGTACCCAAAACGACTCAAAGCTGTAATTGCCACCAAAGGTGCTTCTACAAAGTATTGACTCGGGTATGAATACTTATGTAAATTAGATATTTCTGTATTTAATTTCAATAAATACTTTCTGAATGCCAAGTTATTCAGGAAAGCTTAATGTTGCACTGCCTCCTCTCCGATCCGAGTAGCTATTCCTCGCGCACCTAGAACCTAACGCTTCAATATAGCCTAAATATAAAATGTATTACCTTTTTATGTGTGGCATAAACACAACCAGTCACAATGTTTTAATCTGATTAGGCTACTTCAAAAGTCTCCTATAGGCTACCTGCACATGTTTGTCCAAAATATAATTCCAGCATTCCAGCAACTGTGCACCGGCCACGCCATTTGATGAATGGAAAGAAACATCTGTTCAGTGTGCAAATTACGGGGGGCCAGAGGGGGCTCAGCCCCCTGAATGAAACATGAGCTCCCCTAGGTCAACAAAAGTCAAACTTTGGGGGATGTCTCTAATTAAACCATTCTCTTATTTGTTTAAAATGCTATATTGTACTGATACAGTGGTAAATATGAAAATAAAAGCTTATTCCAAATTAAACGAACACCCCCACTTAGTTTAAACCAGTGACAGTTGGTTCAGGCAGAGAGAGGGAGGCAACGCGAGAACCGTATCTCTGCCCAAAATCTATCCACGTTAAGCAGGTGAGGAATTTTTGTATGAGGGGCAATGAGTGTCGAATTTAGTCAAGATAAACATGACTTGTTATTTTGGTATGTGAGGCTTATTTGATCTAATAGAAGTTTCGTAATGCGAGTGTACTTGAAAGAGAGCGACCAGACTCTACGTGTTTGTTGATCTGTGACCCACTGACACCGCCCCCAGTTAGAGGGGAATAAGGCACCCCAAGAGTTAACACATACAGGGAACTTTATTTACACACACTGACAAAAATGAACATGAGGATCAAATCCCCAAGCTGACAAGGTAAAAATCTGTCATTCTGCCCCTGAGCGAGGCAGTTAACCCAATGTTCCCTGGGCACCAATGACGTGGATTTCAATTAAGGCAGCCCCCTGCACCTCTCTGATTCAGAGGGGTTGGGTTAAATGTGGAAGACACATTTCAGTTGAATGCATTTCGTTGTACAACTGACTAGGTATTTTCCTTTAGTATGGCGGCCCACAGAGACTACACAGGGTAATTTCCACACTGCCCACCCACGGTCCAGTGGAGTATGGTTCCGGGGTATCCAGTGTACTACTACCATGTGGATTATACTCCCTCTCTGGAGCCTATGGCTCCTCTCGTCCACCTGTGGGATACTACTCAGCAGCAGGTGGGGCTACAGTAACATCCCAATGTGTGGACTACCAGGGAGCCACATCGCTGCATCCGTCATATGGTTTTCCCTTTTCCGGTAGAGTACAGGAAGCACGTTTTGCTCATATGAAGCAGGATGTAACAGAGGCTTCTTCGCATTATGCAACAGAAGAACAGATCCCGGGCTTCTTCCGGTCAGGGGAGCCCTCTTCAACAGGTTGCAGTGGAGAACATGGGACAGTCATATTGAGTACAGCAGAAGGATGCCGCCTCTCAAGCCCCAGCAACTTTGCCGGCTACTAATGTAACTTTAGGGTGTGAGTATTCTGCCTCTTCAGCACCAGCACCGCTGTCGGGCACGGCTGCGACTGGGACTGGGCAGGGACACGTCATGTCCCCAGCCCCCGCTGGTTCTCAGGAGTTGCCTGCTACAGAGACTGAGCCCACCCCAGATGTCATTCCCGATCCTCCCTCCAATGCGGTGTAGTCTGGGGGGAACCCTCTCCCCAGCTTGGGAAGCCTATGCGACTCCAGCAGCATTGGCATGCGGTAGTGAGCCTAAGTTGCTGACAGGACCCTATTCCTCACCGCCACCAGATCATCACCAGCCAAAGCTACCCGGCGAGCCGTCTGCCTCTGACTCTCTGCCTGTCCCTGCACTATGGGACCCTCCAGCAGCACCGGATCTGTCTTCTGCAACTCCGATGACCAGCCCAGCCCTGACCTGGGCCCATTAGGGGAACCAGCCATGCCGCTAGCTACTGATAGCACCATCTCACCCACTGGATTCAACCCCGACGTGACTGTGAGGGACACTCCAGACCTCACCAGGGGCGACCACCCAGACCTCTCTCCCGAGTGTCCTCGCCTGCTCTCTTCTCCTGCCACCTGTGCCATCCTGGCCTCCATCCGGGCTTGGCCCGCCTCCGCGGGGGAGCCTCCCCCCGTCACCTCTTGTTACAATGGGCTGGCCCTACTCTGATGTGCTATCCATTTGGCCGCTCACGACCTGTCACTGATGGAGTAACTAAACGGGGTGGCAGGGACCACCACTACTGACATTACAGCAGTGGAATTATTTTATTTGTATAAATATGCTGCACATATTTAGGGGCGACTGTTACAGAATCCCCCTGCCGAGGGCACTGTAGGACTAATTTCCAGCATGTGTGTTGTTTGTTTATATCTGGTTAGTGCTGCCTATTCTAGGTCTCACCCTCATGCGAGAGATATCGATCACCCCCAGCTCGTGGTTTCAGCCAATCAGACTCCCCCCATGCACCCCACACTCTGCCCATGTACTGATCACACATTCTCTGATTGGTCAGATGCTCATAGCTAGCCCTGCACTGGTCAGACAGGTCCGTTGCACGCTCCCGCAAGGGTATAAATATTGCCCTGAGCCTGATGGTGTTATCGTGGGTGGAGTTATGTGCATGGAATGCGTAAACACAAAGTAAGTTGTTGTTGTTGTTTAGCTTGGCTTTGTATACACCAGCACTGTTTGGATGCTGGAATTATTTTGGTGTGGACAAACGTGCGCATGTAGCCTACTTTTTGAAGTTATTTGACAGTCAGATAAACATCATGACTGGTTGTGTTCATGCCTCATTAAAAGGTAATACATGTTTACCTATAAAATACATCTTTACTATTAGGCCCATAAAAAAATTGAGCAAGCGCGTGCACAAATAGGAAGACCCCTCGAATGTCACGGTATAATTCACACTCTGCATCTGTTACAAAACACCAAAAAGTTGAATGACATTCAGAGATCGCAAAGTCTTCGATACTGGGTACAAGGTAGGGAGGGATGTATTTTCTGTTTGTAGAGATTGACATAGTATATTTGATTGTGGTTGAAAACGCAAACCATGATGTTGAAGCGCCGAAGTCGGTGTGCTTTGCTTATTGGTTGGTTGGTCCATTGGCAAAGAAGAACCTAGACTCAGGGGTAGATGTAAAATAGTACTTTTTTTATCCATCATTCATTTCGTAAGATATGTTACGAATACAATTTGTACAATTTGTTTTACGAATTTGCTAAACTTATATGTTACGAATTCCAATTTGTTGTGGCTAATGTTAGCTAGGTGGCTAACGTTAGCTAGCCTAGGGGTTAGGGGTTAGGGTTAAGAGTTAGGTTAAATGTAGCGTTAGTTGTCCTTGATGAGATTCGAACACACTAGATGTTCGCGTTATACGCCTACCCATCCATCCCCGACCAACCACTCTACTTGATCTTCTGTCTTTTGTAACCATATCAAAAGTAACATATCACACTAATTTGAGAGTCCCAGATTTACATTTAAAATGTTACGTCTAGACTATGAGACCAGGCTGCACAGAAACTTGTTGGTGGAAAAATGTGTTGCCTATATTTTATATAAATAGAAATATAGCCTCAAAATATAGAAAATCTGATTTCCCCCTAGATGATCATTGTCTGCAGCCGGCTCTGATCGTAGTGTAATGAAACAGGCAGGGAGAGTGAGCTTGTCCATGGTGGTCGGCGAACCCTCAACCATCTGGCCTGTTGGTCGGCAAACCCTCAACCTTCTGGCCTGTAGCCCTGCACGGCATCGACCGTGCCACAAAGGCATGCTGAAGTGACAAAGTCAATATCCACGTTTATAAACACAGGGTCGCTACAGTTCTTGTTATTTGTGGTCTTAACACTATTTTGAGTGAATTCAATGAGGGGAGAGGGTGTGCAAAACATTTTTACAGTGGGGGGGGGGGGGGGGGGGGGGGGGTATATATTCGTCACTACACACCTTCAATATGTACCAATCACTGTGCACCAATCAGCCAAGCATTAACCAATGAGATAATTTAAATTGACTAATTTCCGCCTACTCTTTGCTGTTTGACAATTATGATGAACAAGAACATGCAACATTTCTTTCTCTCCTTTATTAGAGATTTTTTATCTTTTTGTAAAAAAGCAAATTTGATACATTCACTTGTCACGGTATATGTGTTGCTCGTCTTTTTAAGTGCCAGACAGTTCCAAACCGTTTAAGGTCTTATGAATATACTTTTTTCTGAAATCATGTAGATGCTGTCTTGGAACTTTTTAGTGGAGTCATATTCTTTCTATACATAAAAAAAAGAAAACAATAACTAAAGCCCAGAAAAAAAAGTATTTAAGGCCCAAAATAAAGTTGCCTAGTTTTTAAAAAATGAAACAAGAGAAACAGCACTAGCATACATGCACAACATTTGTCAATAAGCTTCCAAGACTTTGAAGGAGGAGAATGGCTTGACAAAGTGATAATCGAGGTTCCCACAGTGGGGGCACTGCTGCACGTTGCTGTACTCTGAGAAGTACTGCATCCCCACCCTGACATCTATGACTGGCTTGCCACAGTGCTTGCAGTTCAGACGGGCCTAAGGAAACAAAGAGAGGAAATGGCTAAGGATCTGCAGTAGTTGACTTTTCCATCCATAATGTCAATGAGACTAATTGATAGGAAGAGATCTAGCCACAACACAAAACCTGAATTTTGAACTGACTATGGCCCATGAAGTTACTTTATGGCAGCCTGCCATATCCGAATGACACCCCTTGACCATGCAGATGGTGACCCAAAGATGAATTTCAAAAACCTCATGAGAAGAAAAATATGTGTTGAGGAATACTAAGTAGCCTACTCACCTGACAACATGGTGTCGCGGCCAGTATATCGTAGGTGTACATTGTCCCCAACTGGTGCCAGCTCCCATCCCACCTGGACTTGCACTTGATACATACAATTTTGTGGACTCCCTCCAGACAGTCGACACAGATTGCATACAGGTGCATCAGCCTCCCTTCACAAGAGAGACAATAGTGTTATTTAATAGAATCTACAATAAGCCCTAGAGCGTGAAAAATACATGCATGAAAGTGATTTCACTGTAATCAGGCATATCAAAGCCTGAAGATCAAAGCAACATTATCCATCCACTGTTTTAATTCATATCCATGTGGTGAATAGCTACCAAGAAGCTGCTCATGGAAAACTGGATAGATTGACTTGATTGATATGTATGATATGCTTGATCACATTCATGTGGCATAATCATTTCATTTAGTTCTCAATGAAAGTCATTAATTGTATTGTCCCATGTTTATTATGGTGTGTTCTAATCTTAAATATATGCAAGAGATAACACCCTTTATGCAGACCAGAATAACAAATTATTAATGTTATTCTGAAGACCTTTGTCTGTCCCACCACACACCTTTTGAAGTTACACTAAAACATACAAATCTGAAAACAGCTGTGGTCTAAATAATTTGCTTGCAGCCACATACTGTAGCTCCTGAGGCCTTATCAGCTGTCAACAGTAAACCTGAACTTTTCACCGTACACTTTTTTTCTACCTCAGCAGGAAGCTTGGGTCCAAGCCAATCATTTTCAATGTTGTAATTACAGGTCTACTGAGATTGTTTGTGGGAAAATATGTCCACAGAATTTTCCGTTTGCAATATTTGAGTTTGTAGCCTATCACAACATACATATGAGGCATGTGCAATGTTTTGGCTGTCTGCTGATTCTGATAGCCTAAGTGTTTCAAATTCAGTTCCTCAGAGACAGACATTGTTCCAAAGGTCTACCTTGCAGGTGGCACGGCACATCGTACTCGATCTCATCATGTCTAGAGGGGCTCAGGAACAGGGTCCCGTCCACCAGGGGGAACTGCTCAAAGACAGGCAGGGTGCGGTGGCACAAGGCACAGTTGACCATGTTCCTGTGGCTGGCACTCAGAGCTGACAGGATGTACCTCCTCAGGTCCTCTCCCTGGCCCGCCTGGGCATCATCCTCCATACGTACGTGGTAGGTGTTCAGCTTGTGTCTGGGAATGTGGGTCAGCAGCTCTGTGAGGTCCAGCCTTCGCAGGAACTGCACTGGGTTGTCCCCCAGGGTGAGTCTGGGCAGAGGCCAGATGGTGTGATCCAGGTGGCCTCCGCTTGACCCAGCATGCCGCTTGCCAGCATGTGCTTCCGGTGGCTGTCCATGTGCACTGCATTCTTCAGGAACTCCCCCAGGTGCCGGGAGCTGCGGGGCCCTGCGAAGGCGGGTGGGGAGAAGAAGGAGAAGCCTGATGGAGGGGACTGGCCTGGGGACTCACAGGGTGAGCGGGGCCCCAGGCTGCTTCCACAGAACAGGCCTACGTGGCCCCTCTCCTGAGAGTTCTGCCGATCCACTGACTGTTGGCAAGGCAGCTCCTGACTTAATGCTCTGTGAGCCAGCTTACTGCCCCCATGCAGCTTGCCCCTCTTAGGGTCATCAGGTGGATCCAACCCGCCTCCACATGCACCCCCTACAGCTCCAGTTGAGCTGCTCAACTTCCCCAGGCTCTTCTCCAGAGGGACCTTCTTCTTTACCTCCGTCATGCGCTTCACCTGGTACCAGTCCGTGTCTTTCTTAAGGTGCCCCTGGCCGCAGCGGCAGGAGCAAAAGCGGAAGGCCAGGTCATATCCCTTCTTAGTCCACATGTTCTGCCGGCACTGCTTCTCGTTCCAGCTGCGGGCCCTTCCAATGCAGTTGAACTGGACCAGGATGCTGCTTTCCCACTCATAGAAGCACTGCAAGTGCATCCAGTTGCCATAGGGGCAGCTATCAGTGTTGCACACTACACGTTGATAGTCATCCTTCTCAAGGTCAATGTCTCTGGCCAGACTGCACACAAGAGGGGTAGCACAGGGGGCCTCTGCTGGACACAAAACAAAACTGAGTTACTATATCACTCATAAACATATTATCACATCTTCATACGAAGTATGACTTGAAAATAAAAACAAACATGAGCTTTGAGGCACAAAATTCACTTTGGACATATCCCAGAGCAACAAAATGATATTAAACATAATAGATTTTCATTCATGCTATAAAGACTAACTCCTTGGAATGCAATGTTGACAATATTCCATGCTGTTAGTGAGTGAACGATTCAGGACTAAAACATCAATGCAGAGCCTGTCTGGAACTTAACATTAAACAATAATGGACTGTGTGAACATTCAAAAATAAGAAGAATGCTAATGGCATCTGTGTTATCTTGCAACATAAGAACCATCATCATTGAGCATGGATCACTGAGAAAGGGCGCCTGAATACACATCAGACAGGGAAACCCATCAGTGCAGCCAAGTGAGTGGGAAAGTAGTCCAATAAATAGATTTCATGAAAATATGGCCTTCAACGATTCAGGGGAGACCTTTAAAAAAGTAATTAAAGAAGCACTCCACTCATAGAAAAAAGGGTTCCAAAGGGTTATTTGGCTGTCCCCATAGGTGAACCATTTTTGGTTCCAGGTAGAACCCTCTGTGGAAAGGGCTCTACATTGAACCAAAAGGGTTCTAGCTGGAACCAAAAAGGGTTATTCAAAGTGTTCTTCAGACAGCTGAAGAATCCTTTCAGGTTCTAGATCAGCTGGTCTCATAGACTAGACATAACATAGTAAATGTAAATCCAGGATAATTAGTACCATATGTTACGTTTGGTATGGTTACATAAGACAGAAGGTTACTTAAGGCAAAAATTAAAGCAGGGTGGCTTGTCGGGGTGGATGAATAGACGTATAATGCAAACGTCTACCAACCCAAAGGTTGCGTGTTCGAATCTCATCACGAGCAACTACATACTACTTTTTAGCTACTTTCAACTACTTAGCATGTTAGCTAACCCTAACCCTTTCACCTAACTCCTAACCTTAACCCTAGCCTAGCTAATATTAGACACCTAGCCACCTAGCTACCTAGCTAACATTAACCACAACAAATTGGAATTCGTTAAATATTATACATTTAGCAAATTTGTAACATATTGTTCAAATTGCAATTTGTAACATATCATATGAATTGTAAAACGTAACATATCATACGAAATGGATGATAGACTTCCACAAATGTATACATACCATATGAAACACAACATATCACACTAACACAATAAAAGTAAATCCGGGACACTCCAATTAGTATGATATGTTACATTTTGTATGGTATGTCTGAATTTGTGAATGTCCATCAACCACTTCAAATTATATGTTATGAATTACAATTCGTATGATATGTTACGAATTGCAATTCGTACAATATGTTATGAATTTGCGAAACGTATGATATGTTACAAATTCCAATTTGTTGTGGCTGGGTTAGGGGTTATGGTTAGGAAAAGGTTTAGCTAACATGTTAAGTAGTTGCAAAGTAGCTAAAAACTAGTAAGTAGTTGCAATGCTAATTAACTCAAATACTAAAGTTGCCCGTGATGAGATTTGAACATGTAACCTTTGGGTTGCTAGATGTTCGCATTATAGGTTAGGGGAAGGGTTAGCTAAAATGCTAAGCAATTGCAAAGTAACCCTAACCTTAGGATTAAGGTTAGGTTTAGGGGAAGGGGAAGGGTTAGCAAACGTGCTGAGTAGTTGCAAAGTAGTAAGTAGTTGCAAAGTTGCTAATTAGTTCAAATAGTCTGTGATGAGATTCGAACATGCAACCTTTGGGTTGCTAGATGTTCGCGTTATATGCTCACCCATCCACCCTGACCAATCACTTTACTTTCGTTTTTGCTTTAAGTAACATTCTGTCTTATGTAGCCATACCAAACGTAACATATCGTACTAATTTAAGTGTCCCGGAAATACGTTTACTATGTTACTCTAGTCTACGAGACCAGGCTGAATACGTGCGTAGTGATATGGCAGTGCATTGAGCTCCATGTCAACGCATCATTAAATGACCAATGCATAATGCTCGTTGCCAATTAGGCAATAACACGTGAGTTAGGTACAGTCGATGACAACAATGAAATGTGAAGCAACGTAAGCTTATGTCGTCTCGTGCGTATGCAATAATACAATAAAAACCATTGCAATAACTTTGGTCACGCATGTTTTGACACAATTTTACTCTTACCACTTGTATGCTCGTTTAACGGTGCAGCTGTAGCCCCCAATAATGTTGCTACCCCTGGTGCTCCCCCTGTTGCGGCAGCACTGGCTCCATTTTCTTGCTCATCTCCACTACTATTAGTGCGTTTATTTCTCTTCCCCTTGTTGCTTTTCTGGTTGGGCATTTTACTGATCCTGATATTAATAATGTCAACCTATAAACGACTGTCTGACATTTCTGCGGATTCCATTTGAATCCCACTTGAAATGCAATGATTCTCTCTTCTTGATTGCAGGTGGTACTGTTTTTGCAGCTATATCACCATCCAGATTTCTGCAGTTGTGACAGCAAAGGTAACCCACGAAGAAGGCGTATCCGTTTCTTGTTTTGATTCCTGCTCTGAATGTAGATCGGTCAGGCGCTGTTCTGTTTTCCTCCTGCCTCTATGACGAAACACGGCCCGCCCCCCAACCCATAGCTATAAGTTATTATTAGATCTAGCAAGGGAGTCCCAAGTAAAGGGGCCTGGTAGGAAGGGGAATCCACGGTAATACCTCAGGATCAAGTCAATGCTTTATCTGGTTTATCTGAGGCTACAGTTGCAGTCATAATTTTCTATGGCATTGCCAACAATAGATTGATTACTTCAGTGCAGTCAGCAGTGCAGACTTAGTCTGCAGTTGCATTGCCTACTGTCCTTTTCATCAATACAAATGTTATTCAGTAATACAGTAGAGGCAGAGTGCAATGTAATAACACAGCATAAGGTTACAAAAAGATAGATACATGTATGCAATGCATCTGTTGTATTGGGCTAATAATCAGGCTGCAAAGTGAAGGTTTGTTCTTTATTCACCATCCTAAGACAATAACGGACTTTGGAAAGGAACTGCACTTTGATGAAGTTTGATAATGTAAATGCATTGTATTTGTTCAGAGAAAAATTGTGCATGGCTAAATTTGTCATAGTTTCTTTTATTTTTTATAACCATTTTCTTGAAGAATTACGATTGCTTCCCATATCAAGTTTCACATTTCTCTCCTACCAGAGAAACTAAAATGCAAGTGCTTCAAGAGAGGCTTTTGCAAAATCAATATGGTCCTCTGTAGCTCAACTGGTAGAGCACGGCGCTTGTTAAGCCAAGGTAGTGGGTTCGATCCCCGGGACCACCCATACACAAAAATGTATGCACGCATGACTGTAAGTCGCTTTGGATAAAGCGTCTGCTAAATGGTATATTATTATTACTTGCTATCTTAGTTTTTCTAAAGAATTCCACAAGTGGTAGCAAAATTACCATGTAAACAATAAATGAAATTGCCATTTGGTGATTCCTTTAAGGGTTAAAACGGAAGGAATTTGTTTCCTAAAAAGTCTAGTCGTATTTAATCCCCTAGAAAATACAATATTCTAATGTGCGTTACAAAATGTTACATTCTCGGCATGTACATTTGTCGTCCTAAAAATGTATAGAAATGTTGATTTATGATCCCTGGTAGATGTAATAGTAACGCCTCAAAGAAACGCTTGACTTATCACCTGAATAGAATAATGATCACCATCAGCTTCATTCTTGTAGGAGTGTGATGTCAACATTGTCATGGCACCTCGCAGCAACAGCTCCCCTTCAAATGCGATGATCTTTTTCCTCTTGGCAGCCCTCAGAGTCCCAACTAAAGCCTCAAAGATATTGACACACTTATCGTCATTGAACAGGACACCAAATTTGACACTAGTTTGTCCATCTGCATGTGTAAAACAAAGCAAGGTTCAGTAAGGTATTTTAGGTATTTTATTAGGATCCCCATTAGCTGTTGCAAAAGCAGGGGGTCCAAACAAAACATGATACATGACAATACAGAACATTAATAGACAAGAACAGCTCAAGAACAGAACTACATACATGTTTTTAAAGGCACACGTAGCCTACATATCAATACATACACACAAACTATCTAGGTCAAATAGGGGAGAGGCGTGAGGATAAATCAACTTTCCTAAAACTCCTGTGAACGTCTATGGTATTATGTTTAGTTTCCTCTAACACTGCATGGTAATGGCAGGGCTTCCCCACCTAGCTCCATCTCCCCACCAAAACATTCAGAAACATTCATCATGAGTATATACAGTTCAGATAAACAGTGGATCACACTAAAACGATACACTCCAAAATAGGCTGTGGTAGCTGAGGAGCAAATAAGGGGAAACATGGCTCTGTAAACAAACATTAAAGCCAGGGGATTTTCAACAGCAGGAGAGAGCATGAGGTAGTGGAGCTAATATGAGGTGGAACAGCCCGAGATGAGTTCACAAACGGTTGCTGCAATGCCTGAGGATAAAGAGCAAGTGTCCAAATGAAGACAAAACAGGCTTACTTTTAATGTACTAATTAATTACAGATATTAATAGCATTATGATTCTGTGGATCCACATTGTGTGCAGACTTTGGTTACAGCCCAGTACTAACGGATTCAACAATCCACCAAGGCCTTGAATCAGGCGTGTTGGAACTTAGCTGGAAAAAAGTCTGCAGACCCTGTTGATTGGAGAGAATTTTATAGGTTTCAAAATACAGTGCATCCCCTATTGCAGGGATCACACCACCTACAGTTGAAGTCGGAAGTTTACATACACTTAGGTTTTTCAAACACTCCACAAATGTCTTGTTAACAAACTATAGTTTTGGCAAGTCGGTTAGGACATCTACTTTATGCATGACACAAGTAATTTTTCCAACAATTGTTTATGGACAGATTATTTCACTTATAATTCACTGTATCACAATTCCAGTGGGTCAGAAGTTTACATACACTAAGTTGACTGTGCCTTTAAACAGCTTGGAAAACTCCAGAAAATGATGTCATGGCTTTAGAACAGGGGTGTCAAACTCATTTTAGCTCAGGGGCCACATGGAGGAAAATCTATTCCCAAGTGGGCCGGACCGGAAAAATCATGGTATATATAACTTAAAAACAACAACTTCAGATTGTTTTCTTTGTTTTAATACGATCAACATACAACATAAATCTGGAGCCTGAGGACAGTGTGTCCAAAATAGTACAAGCACAACATCACTATTAATCATAAAACACGTCAAGTTTATTTGAAAATTCTAAAGAAAAAGAACACAAACACACAATGCCTCAGTGATTAACAGAACTGTTTCACAGATCACAGAACTATATCAGGGGGTCATTTCTCAGGCAGAAATGTAGATAAAAATAATGAAATCCTGTTCCCCAAACAAGTGCAAGAACCACAGAGTCAAGAATAGGTTAAATATACAAATAAAATAAAAACAATTAAAAACAATAGCACATCAACATAAAAACATATAAACATAAAGCTGGAGCCTGAGGACAGTGTGTCCAAAAGCACAACATCACTATTAATCATAAAACACCTCAAGTTATTTGAAAGTTCTGAGGACAAAGAACACACAAACACACAATGCCTCAGTGATTCACAGAAGTATATCACAGATCACAGAACTATATCAGGGTGTCTCATGTAGCACTTTAAGTGGGGTTGCATAGTTTATTTGACTCCTGATACCTGGCATCTTTTAGCTTTCACCAGCGCATCAATATCAGGCGTCAAATCCTGAGTGGCAGCCAACTTCAGGATGTGATTCAAGTGCTTGTGCGTGAGCCTTGAGCGCAGCGTTGTTTTATTTATGCTCATTACAGAGAGAACTTGCTCACAAAGATATGTGGTTCCAAACATGCACAACAGTTTTGCAGCGAGGGCTGTCAAGTTGGGGTAACCTGGCAAGAGATTCTGATTAAATGTGTCCAAGCCAGCTGCAGCAAATGTGCCCTTCAAATCCGAGTCACACTGCAAGTCTATTATTTCAAGTTGGATGCTGACGGGCAGATCAGAGGGATTCACGGTGATTGGCGAGCAAAAAACGTTGAAGTCTTTCTCCAGTTCACCAAAAATCTGAAAGCGTTGCTCAAACTCCCGTAACAGTCCCGTTATTTTATCTTTGAACCGCTTCATGTCTGCCACATGTTGGGTCGCGCACACATTTTTCAGACAGGGGAAGTGAGCTGCATCACCACCGGCAAGTTGCGTCTCCCACAATGACAGCTTCAACTTGAAAGAACGTATGCTGTCATAATACTGCGTGACAACTTTGTTGCGCCCTTGCAGCTGTTTGTTCAAGTTATTCAGGTGCTCTGTAACATCCACCATAAATGCAAGGTCCTGCATCCATTCTGCGGAATGGAATTCTAACACTGGTTTGCCCTTTTCTTCCATGAACTGTTCAATTTCTTCTCGTAAATCAAAGAAACGCCTCAGCACCTCGGCTTAACCATCTTACCTCAGTGTGGTATGGCAGGCCATAGATGTGGTCTTTCTCTCTGAGAAGGCTGTCAAACTGACGGTGAGTCAGGCTTCTGGATCGGATGAAATTAACAGTTTGGATGACCACCTTCATGACGTTATCCATCTTTAATGACTTGCAACACAAAGCCTCCTGGTGAAAAATACAGTGAAAAGTCAAAAAATCACGTCCTCCATTTGCAGATTGCACTTTCTCTCTGAACTTTGTCACAACGCCTGCTTTTTTCCCGATCATTGAGGGCGCACCATCTGTAGCCAGGCTGACAGCGCGGGACCAGTCCACTCCGACCCTGTCCAGCGCGCCGACGAGTGCGGTAAAAATATCAGCTGCTGTCGTTGGATCTGTCATCGGCACCAACTCCACGAACTCCTCGGTGACGGTCAATGTGTCATCAACTCCGCGGATGAAAATGGCCAGTTGTGCAACATCTGTAATGTCCGTGCTTTCATCAATTGCAACCGAAAACGCAATAAATGACTTTACTTTTTGCTTCAACTGGCTGTCCAAATCCACTGAAAGATCGGAAATCCTGTCTGCAACTGTGTTTCTTGTCAGGCTGATATTTACAAAAGCCTGACGCTTTTCAGGGCACACAATCTCCGCTGCCTTCATCATGCATGTTTTTACAAATTCACCCTCACTAAATTGTTTTGAAGCCACTGCGATTTCATTAGCAATGAGGTAGCTAGCTTTCACTGCAGCGTCACAATGTCTCGGCTGTGAGTAAACACAGACTTGACCTACTTGCTCTGCCCCGGTATAAACAGTTTGCTTGCTTAACACAATTGCTATTGCGCCATCCAGTGGACGCAATTGGAACAGCAGTTTATTT